ATCAATTCTCTGAGAAAAAGATCAATAAGATCTCTTCTAAGTAATTAATAACAGAATCTAAACAGTGCTATAATAGCTTCAGTGCAGAGAAAGTAAAGAAGAATTTCAAGTATTCTGATTCTTCACTTACTGTGAAGAAATATTAAAAAAGATTTAACAAAGATCTCTGTTTCAACTGCAGAGCTGATGATCACTATATCAGTAATTGTAAGAAGCTGAAGAAGAGAAGAAATCAAGAAGATATCTTCTTGAAGTCAACTTCTCTTCTGACAAATGTATTCATAGAAGATAAAGAAGAGAAAGAAAAGAATTGACAATTCTCATGTCTCTGAGTTCATATTATGATCACAATACATACTCTGAATGAGAAGATATCAGTGAGATGCCTACTCAACTTCAGAGTGAATACTAACTTCATATTCTATTTCTTTTCTTTGATGAAGAGTTGAAAGAAGATAGACCTGTCAGGTCATGTGAAATTTACAGATGAAATGAAATATCATTATTTTGACATAATTCAAGCAAAGTATGTGATCACAGACTCAGAAGAAATCTTCAAGAAGAGCAGTCTACTTCTTCATACAGTTAACATCATAGATAAGAACATCATTCTAGATCTCTCATAATTGAGAGAAAACAATCCTCTTATTAACTGAGTCACTCAGATGTGATGATATCACCTCATTAATGAAGAGATGATGATAGAGAAATCTGAAGAGTTTCATCAGAAGAATCTTGAGAAAAAGATTGAGTTAATATACTGTGTAGCAGGTGATTGAGACTTAGAGACAGATGAAGAAGCTATCACTCTTGCTGCAAGATTAGCAGCAGTATCTGTCATTGAAGACAGACATACACAATATCTCTTTACAGATTTTAAGAATGTCTTTTTGAAAAGAGAAGCAGTGAAGTTTCCTGACATCAAGATATGATATAAGATTCATCTTAAAGATGATGTAACAGCACTGTACAGGCCTCTTTACAACTTGTCTGTAAAGAAGTTGAATGTTCTGTGCAAATATCTTGAAGAAGTGCAATCAAAGAACTGAATATATTTATCAAAGAGTTCAGCAGAGATGTCTATACTCTTTGTGCTCAAGAAGAATAATAGACTACATCTATGTGTAGACTACAGAGATCTTAATAAGATGATGATTAAGAATTACTATTCATTACTGTTAATTGATGAGATGATTGATTGATTATCTGAAGTAAAGATGTTCTCAAAGATTAATATACAGAATATCTATCATAGAATCAGAGTTAACAAAGATGATGTTTGAAAAACAGCTTTTTATATCAAGTACAGCAATTTTAAATATCTTGTTTTATCTTTTGATCTTTGTAATACTTCAGCCATCTTCCAGACCTATATAAATGAGGTGCTGTGAGGCCTTGTTGACATCTTCTATATAGTATACTTAGATGACATTCTAATCTTCTCAAAAATGGAGAAAGAACATGATACTCATGTTTGAGAAGTGTTGAGTCACTTGAGACAGTATTAACTCTATACAAACACTGAAAAATGCTCATTCTACATGCAGGAGATTGATTTCTTAGATTATATTATTGAGATGAATGGCATTTCAATGAACAGAAGCTGAGTCTTCATCATTGAGAACTGACTGACATCACAGATGTACTATGAGATGCAGATGTTTCTAGAATTTATGAATTTCTACAGATGATTCATCTATACATATTCACAGATTACTGCCCTTCTTACAGATCTGTTGAAGAGAAGTGTGAAAGACAGGAAAATGAGACTGTTTATTCTCACTCAAGGCACTGCACAGGTGTTTGCAGAATTGAAATAAGCTTTCACAGATATCATGATACTGAATCACTTTAACTCTGACTTACTCAGTCAGTGTGAAACTGATATATCTGAGAATGAAATCTGTGAAATCTTTTCACAGTTGATATTGAAGATCTTTCAATGTTGAAAGAATCAGAGAATAATTATCTCTGAGAAAACAGACAATGAATTGTCTGTGAAAGAAGGCTTTTTCATGAAGTCTATAAGACACTGTGAATGAAGATCAGTGATCTTCTTCTTCAAGAAGTTATCACTCATATAGAGAAGATATGATATTCATGATGAGAAGATGTTAGTAATTGTTGAATTCTTTAAGATCTGATGACATTATCTTCAGAGTAGTAAGTATTCAGTGTAAGTTCTCACTGATTATATAAATCTGTGTTACTTCTTGATAATAAAGAGCTTGACAGAACATTAAGTCAGATGAGCAGAGCTGCTTTCAGAGTATGATTTCTATATCTGATACTGTTCAGGTCAGCTTAACCTCACTGATACACTGTCTAGATGACCTGATTATAATATTATTGATGCAGAGAAGAATTCTATAAAAGAATCTCTGCTATCACTGCAGAAGAAGCTGACTGCAGGGAGTTGAGATTCTCTAAAGCTTAGAAACAGTGTCAGAGAGACAGCTGTACAACTCAGTATAGAAGGTGAAAGAGAACCCGGGTCTCTGTAGAAGACTGATACTGAAGATCATGAGCTTCTTGTATCATGTCTTATAATCATTGAATTGACAAAGAATGAAACAGTCTACAATCTTTCAATCTGACTACTTTTGAAATTCATTAATAAGTTACAGAAGAGGGACATCTCTACTGCAGCTTAAATTCAGAAGTTGAAGAAGAAAGAGTCTGATTTGAACTTGAAAGAGACAGACTCTGAACAGAGTGATGCTGCTAAGAAATCAAGTCACTGATAACTAGGAGAATGTGAACTCCTACTGCTGAATGATTCAGTCTTTGTCCCTTGTAGTAGAACAGTGTGTCAGAAGTTATTGAGAATTCATCATAATAATCTTCATGTGAGACACTTCAGGTTAGAGAAGACTGAGAAGCTTCTAAAATGTAAATACACTTAGAACAAGCTCTGAGCAGATGTCAAAGAGTATGTTGAGACTTGCAATGTCTGTCAAAGAATAAAGATTCTGTGATATAAGCAATACAGTGAGTTGACATCACTGTCTGTTTCAAAGAGCCTATGATAGAATCTATCAATGAATTTCATAGTTGACCTGCTGAAGTTGACAAGAGTCAAAGAATATGACTCAATTTTGATCATTGTTGATCACTTCATGAAGATGATCAGATATATCTCTACTTATAAAAAGGTTAAAGCCTCTGAATTGACTGACCTGTTTTTAGATATCATTATTTATAATCACAGTGCTTTGAAATTGTTGATAACAGATCAAGAATTCCTCTTTATCAGCAAGTACTGATCAGCTTTTTGCTATTATCTTATGATAAGATATCTTCTCAGTACTGCTTTTCATCTGCAGACTGATGATCAGACTGAATATCAGAATCAGACACTAGAACAGCATCTTTAAGTGTTCTGTTCATATTATCAGAATAATTGACTCAAACATCTTCTAACTGCTGAATTTGTATATAACAATGTAAAGAATACAACCTTAAAGATATCTTCTTTCTATACTTGTTATGAATATAATCCTTCATTACTCAGTGACATCACGGATGATGTTTCAAAGAGAGAGATAGACAGTCAGAATATTAAACAGATACAGAGAACAGAGTATCTCTCAGTGTCAGAAGTAAAAGTAAGATTGAAACTTTTGAATAAAATTTATAAGAAGGTGGCAAAAAGCATCTACTACACTCAGAAGTGATAGATAAAATACTACAATTGAAAACATCTTCTGATGAAGTTCTTGATAGAGGATTAAGTGCTACTTTCAGTAAAGAATATTAAGATAATAAGACTGTATAAGAAGCTCAGTGAGTGATGACTAGAACCTTTCTCAGTAACAAGAGTGATGAGTAAGCAGATATATGAGTTGAAATTACTCACAGAATTGAAATCAATTCATTCTGTTTTTCATATTTTCTATTTAAAGCTCTATAAGTAATACTCTGAAGCAGAGCTGTCTCAGCTGAATAATATTAAGATTGAGAGTGATACTGAATATCTTATGAAGAAAATATTGAATAAGTGAACATATTACAGCAAGCTTTAATATCTTATTAAATAAGAAGATTATTCATTATCAGAGAATTTATAAGAACTGCTTGAGCATTTGAAAAATACTGAGAAAAAGATTGTAATCTATGAGACAGCTAGTAGAGACTGCTCTGTTACATGCTAGAGATATTAAGTAAGAAATGCTGCTTAAGACTTCTCATTTTTCTTAAAGAATTTTTTTAGAGATAATCTCACAGTGATGAGTCAGTGTCTTGTAGACTCTGTAGCACTCTTCTTCTATTTTCTCTCAAAGAGTTTTTAGAAGTTTAATAAGACTATACAAGTGTAAAATTCCTGAAGCAGTTAGAGAAAAGAGATATTAAAAATTAATAAAAAGATTAATATTACTAATCTGCAGACTACTGCTATTCTAATAAAGTCACAGCTCACTGAAAAAGTAAAAAGAGAGATCAGAGTCTACTCATCAATAATCATATCTTTATCAAACTCATTCTTCACTGTTGAAGTCTTCAGCACTGATATCTTTGTCTGCTGAGAAGTTAGCACTGCAGTGCTGCAGAGAAGCATGCTGTAGAAGAGTATAAGAAATACTGAAAGTGTTAACTTATCAACTTATAAAACATCTCAGTCATCTGCTTCAACTGAAGTGAGATTCTCTTCAATCAGTGATTGATCTCTGTGACACTTTCAATAGCAGTACTAGCTGATCTCTTCTTAGAGTCAGTCATTCTGAGATGTTTTTTTATCTCAGAGATTCACACTTTCATCTTCTTTTACAGACAAGCAAGAGAGATCTCCTCAGTCTTGATAAAATCTATCAATGCTTGAAGCTCTGAGATTCTCACTCTGTACTGCTTGAGCATCTAGACTTCTTATCAGAACTGATATAACATCTTTCTATAAGATGATACTTACAGAGAGACAGAAGTCATTGTTATAAATATAACAGAAACAATAAGAGTGAGAGAAGAGATAAGTGTATAAAATCCCTCTCTTCTTCAGCTGCTTAATGCAGTGCAGACAAGTAGTGATGCTGATCAGAGACTGCACTGAAGCCTTCTCACAGAGAGAAGATGAAGAAACTGCAGGATTCTGCAGACTCAACTCAGCAGCATTTCAAGCAGGGCTCAGACATGCTGTGAGAGAGAAACTACAGATTGAGCTTCTTGAAGCCACTGTCTCCAGAATCAAGCTCTCCCCAGGTTTCTCTCTGAATGATCACACAGGGTTATATGCCACTGTATTGACTGAGGGAGGGAGCAGCGTTGCAACAGTAGTGAGAGAAGTGAGAGACAGACTGAATATGAATGAACTGATCAGCAGAAGGGATGACACCTCACTGCAAGGCACAGTGACTATCACCACAGCTGCAAAAGAAGCAGAAGAAGAAGAAGATGTGATAATGAAAGTGATGCTCCCGCGGCTCATTGATGCCGCTGCCTCTGCCTTCAACCTGGCTTTCTTGACGGTCATGAAGACCACCACTGTATCATGAAGATGTTTGTTACTCACTAGAAAACATCAGAATAAGCCCTTGATTATTCTTCAAGAATGATACTCTCATGCACTCACTGTTATGATTGAGAGAGGGGGAAGAAAAATGTTTCACAGAGAGAGAGATCTTTTTAAAAAATCCTGTCACTACTGTTAGCTTTGTCTCTAAAACACATCACTTTTACAGAGAATTTTATACATAGAATGAAATATATTGAGAGATCTGTAAGTCACTTATTAACTATGTTTTCCACATTTCAAATTAATATATAAGAAACTCACTTATCACACATTTGATTTGAATAATGATGAGAAAAGAAAGATCTATGCAGTTAGCAGAAAAACTCATCTATTTCTTTGTATCATATGCAGTACACACACTGTTAATCAGTTGATAATCATTGCTATACAACAAAGATAATTTCTAATTCAGTAATCTTGAGAATATAGAGACTATATTCTTAAAGAGAAGAGCATTGTCACACTCTCAGCTATGTCAAGACTCTGTTGTGATTTCACACAGCTCATCACTTTCATGCAGATGATTTCATCCTGTCTGAACTGATTTTCAATCACTCTATGACATCATTCAAATGTATCATAGAAAGATTCAATTGATGAATATGAGAACCTCACTTTTATATAAGATCAGCAGATTACTCTTTCTTGACAATGAGGCATCACTGAGGTATCACTTCAGCTATTCTCACTCATGAAATGAGAGAAGAGTATCCACTCATTATCTATATAGAATAGCTAGATGCTGGCTCCTTATTAAAGAAGTCAGTGATTCATTTTTCTTCTACTGAAATATATACAAGAGTTACTGCATGCTCTATACAATCTTCTTAGTATACTAAGTATCATATCTGTGATATTCTTGCAATAACCTTGTAGCCTATGAGCTCACTATTCAAGTAAGATAGTCAAGCTCACTTATACAGCTTCTCAAACAACTACTTCTACATAACGCCGCCAACTAGTCATCACTTCGGTTCCGCCACATTACATTCTGATATAGAAGGATTAAATCTGCTTACATATTAATAAGCAAAGAGAATGATTCACAAGATCTTATCTGAAAGCATTCTGTATGTCATATAAGACTCAGAAGTGAAGAAAATCAAGATAAAGAATATGCAGAAGAACAAGTGTATGAAGAAGCTTCTGAAGAAGTATAGAAAGATCTTTTGAACAGATCTTTCACTGAAATTACTGCTGAAATGAGAATTTGTATATAAGATTGACACAGAGAATGCAAAATCAGTCAATCAGAATGCATACTCTCTGTTATAAACACATCTTAAAGAACAGAAGTATCAGATCACAGATCTTCTAGAATATAGTCTCATACAACTCTTATCAAGTATGTGAGGCTTTTCAGTTCTATTTGTGAAAAAGACAGATGAAGAGTGATGAATGTGTATTGATTATTAAGCACTTAACAAGCTTATGATCAAGAATGAATATTCACTATCACAGATTCAACAATAGTTGAATACAGTTGAAAACACCTGATATCTATTAAAGATCAATCTTCTCTCAGAATACTGACAGATTCATATAAATAAACTATCAGTCTCATAAACTGCATTTAATATACAATGAGAGAAGTTCAAATTTCTAGCAATATTATTCAGTCTGATAAATACACTTATCATCTTTCAAATAATGATGAATATGATTCTTCATAAACAGAATGAAATCTCATGTTTTATATATCTTGATAATATTCTAGTCTTTTTAAACTTATATAATAAACATCTGAAGTATCTCAATGAAGTGCTTATAACTCTGACAGAGTATAAGCTCTATATCAAATCAATCAAGTGTGTGTTTGAAATGAAAGAGTTGAAGTTCATGAAATATATAGTGAGTGATGACTGTATATACCTCATCTCAGAGAAATTGAATGTCATAGTGAATTGACTGCAGCTAAGAAATATATATCATGTATAACAGTTTCTTAAGTTAATCTCATACTACTACAGATTTATCAAGAATTTCATATAAATATCTGCATCACTCTTAGATCTCTTAAGAGAAATAGATGCAAATCTGTAAAAGAAGAAGTTTTATTCAATTATCTGAAATACTGTGTGTGAAGAGGCTTTTCTCACACTGAGAGAATGTGTAATAATATTCTCAGTACTTATTCAATCAGATTATAATAAACCTTTCTACATTGAGACAGATATATCTGAATAAGCTATTAGAGACACTCTTCTACAGATGAGTAAGAACAGCAAGCTGCATCTGATAATATATGATGATAGAAAACTATCAGACACTGAGCTCAATTACTCAGTGTATGAAAAGAAATTGCTAGTGATTAAGCATATGCTGATATTGTGAAATAGATATATTAATAATAAGTATATAACAACAGTGATCATAGATTACAAAAGTCTCATCTATCTATAATTAATAATAAAACCTTTCAAATACTTAGTATATTGAATCTTGAAGTTCTAAGTGTACAATCTTCATATTAAATACTGAAAGAAATTGAACACAGTGATATCTGATGCAATCAGTCACAGATCTGATTTCATGAATAAGAGTTCTGTAAATCAGGTATAAGAGACATTCATGTTAAATACACTGAGAGAATACAAGAAATCAGAATGAGTGAACATCATAATCTCTCACTTAAAGAATGATAAGATATCAGATGATAAGTGTCTTGCAAAAGTAGTAGAAGAGATGCTTTTAAATTTCAAGCTAAGAAAATTGAAAAATGATGTTATACTTTACTATGATCTAGAATACACAGAAGCTCTCTATCTAGAATCTTCATTTCAATATAACTTAGTGACTCACATATACAAGAAATTCAGTCACTTAGAAAGCTCTGAACTCATGAGTGTACTCAAATTAAGAGTGTACTGATCAAGCATGACTGAGAACATTCAGATATATACTTATAAGTGTCTGAATTGTCAGGTCATAAAGAGATCTAAGAAAGGATTAGAATATGAGAAAGTGCAATATCAGGTGAAGTGTATAATACAACTGTTTGAACAATGAGAGATGAATCTCATAGACATATTGTTACAAACATCAAATGAAAATCAATGAATAATCACTGCTATTGATTACACTACTGACTGGCCAGTCATGAAAGCAGTTTCAGAGATGACAGAGAAGATGATGGCAAAGTTTCTACATGATGAGATCTATGTTAACTATGAAATGTCATGTGAGATTCTAACAGATAACAGTGTGAATCTCATAGAAGAAGCAGTGAGGCATTTCATAAGTCAGTTACAGACAAGATATCATAGAACAATGCCATATCATCTACAGATGAATGAGAAGGTGAAACACTTGAATGAAATCTTGAACAACATGCTGATGAAATATCTAGTGAGCAAGTCTACAAGATTATAAGATGAATATCTCAGTCAGATGCTATTAGCCATGCGGATTCAACAGCATGCAGTCTCCTGTGGTTCGGAAGAACGTACGACCGTCGGATAATAACGCGGCCGCTTCCGAACTACTAGCGTACGCGTATGAGTGTAAAGGGGCCATAGCGTATGCTAATTAATTTAGTGTATGAGATTACATATAAGAAGCCAGCGTACGCCTGTAATTGTACACTGGCTTAAGCAACCTTTGAATCACATCTGATAGCATGTCTAAAAACTGGTGAGAAGCACAGACTTCTTCAGAGTGTGATAATTCTATCTATAAAGCAATTCATAGTTATCATATCAGTGTGGTTCTAGAACATCTCAAAAGATAGTGTATGAAGAGTGATGAGCAGAAGAGCATCTGATTAATACTGCTTCACTTGTTGAGGGAAAACTTCACACCCAGGCGAATGCCACATATGCGAACAGATGAGATGTGAGAAAAGGAATGGAAGCAGTGAACCAGATTCAAAGGAGACTGCTCTTCACTCAAAGGGATAAAAGAGAGGGGTGGCCATCACCGGAGTTGTATAATGATAACAGATACTGATATAATGACACAGCGATATAATGATAGACATTGTACAATCAATGAGAAATTACTGAAATGAATACCTTCTCTAGCTGATACAAACAATACTCTTCTCTGCTACCTGAATCAGAAGATATGCAGAACCTCTCAGAGAGTTTACTTAAAGCAGTAAGAAAAGCAGCTGAAATCACTGAATCAGAATTGAAGCTCTGTATACATACAAGAATTCTAAATGAGATTGAGATCTTGTGTACACAGTGACAGACTAAGACAGAAGTTAAACAATAATTAATATTTACTGTGAATCAGGCATTTACTATGAAGAGCTTCACTGATATAATCATCATTATCAATAAGAATAAAGAAAATCAGATCTTAGATCTACAGCAGAAGATTAAATGTTTATACAGATAGATAACTATACTGAATCTGAAGATCTTATTATAATTGTTCACAATCTCTTCAGAAGTGTACACATTATCAGAGATCACTGTGTAGAATAAGAATTCAAGCATAAGATACATTAAGCTGAGAGATCTGTCAGAGTTATCAAGCTTCAATGATAACTGAAAAAATAATACTGTAATCAGCTGACTAAGTCAGATATAATTATATTATCAGATTGAATGTGAACTCACAGACAGATAGTTAACAGAATTTTAATAAGTCTTAAGATCTGCTGTGTTTCTATATGAAAAAGTGAAGTCATTATAAATGACTAATGAAAAGATGAATCTTACAGATCTGAAGCAATATTTATTTTCATGAACATGAAATGAGTTTTTCAAATAAATCTTATATAACTTTGAGAAAGTGAATATATAAGATAAGTGTTATAAACACTTCACTGAGTGTAGATAAGTGAGTAATCTTATATTATATTTCATACACTTCAGCTTATACTATCTTATATTGAATGAAGAGCTTTTAATATTATTCTATTTACAGATCTTCATTCATAATCTTACACTTAAGTTAAGAGTGAAATGAAAATGCTTAACCTCACAGTCAGATATAGTGAAGAAAGCATATAACATTCTTATTATATGA